CAAGAGGCACACACAAAAGAAAAAGCCATATTAATATCCTGAGCTGCAAAAGGCTCAAGTCAACAACTTCAGACATTTGCCAGTTGTGCTGATAACTCACTACTATTATGGACTATGGGGCTATATTGGATTATTTTGTTGAATTCAAGTACCTACTTTGGATTGACATCAAGTTTGAAAAGGTCCTTTAAAGACTTCTCCAAATATAGCTTCTCTAACTGCAGTGGATGACTGTAGGTACTGCGGCCTTGTCCTGCCCACTCACATATAACCAATTTCCAGCTTCGTCTGGTCCCAACAGGCTCTGTGCCCATGTTACTTAGCATGGAATCTCGCTCTCCTTCATGAAGCCAGCTCCCCAAAGGCCATCGTGTGCCACTACACCACCTGATAAAGGATGTGGAGAAAATCGGAGCAGGCTAAGGAGTAATGAGCGGCAGTAGCTGTCCCCAAGGGAGAGGCGGTCTCTCCAGAAGGTGTTCTCTGAGCAGAGGTTTGGGTAAACTGAGGAGTACAAAGGCTTGTGGGCACCCTGGAGCATTGGGGAGAAAGCTCTGGGGTGGACTCCATGCAGAGTCTGTCCAGGACCCTGGAGGTGTAGCTTTCATAGTCATTGTTTCTTTCAAATGCAGATTTACTTGTTTTCTGCTGATTTACTTTCACTGGACTTATGTTCAATCAACTTGCTCAAAACTAACCAGTGTACACTTGGGAGCTTCTTTGCTACATCCTGCTCATTTCCCATGGAGTCATTTCCTGTGGACACAGGGGAGCACCTGATGTCCGGCCTGGCCTTTCTGTCCTTGCCTAGAGTGTTTTTGGAGGAGGAGTTGTGTGTAACTGTAATCCAGGTTACTACAGAATCTTGACATGGCCCTAGGATGCCCTTTGAGATCCGTAGCTGTTTTTAGAAATCCTAGCTACAGTTGCCTCAGAAATCCCAGAGAGGGAGGAGCCCAAAAGGGATTGTTGGAGAAAGGCTTTTTCCTTTTTGTCTGGTGACAGCCATCAGGTAAGCCAAGATGGGAGCGTACGAGTACATCCTGGAGCTGTGGAGGAAGAAGCAGTCCGATGTGATGTGCTTTCTGCAGCAGGTCCGCTGCTGGCAGTACCGCCAGCTCTCAGCTCTCCACAGGGCTCCTCGCCCCACCAGGCTGGACAAAGCTCGCAGACTGGGACACAAGGCCAAGCAAGGGTATGCCATATACAGGATTTGTGTGCGCTGCAGTGGCCGCAAACACCCAGGTCCTAAGGGAGCAACTCATGGGAAACCTGTCCGTCATGATGTTAACCAGCTGAAGTTTGCACAAAGCCTTCACTCTGTTGCTGAGGAGTGAGCTGGATGCCACTGTGGGGCTCTGAGAGTTCTAAATTCTTACTGGGCTGGTGAAGATTCCACATACAAATTCTTTCAGGTTATCCTTATTGATCCATTCTACAAAGCCATCAGAAGAAATCCTGACACCCAGTGCATCACCAAACCAGCCCATAAGCTCAGGGAGATCCATGGGCTGACACCTACAGGCCGTAAGAGTTGTGGCCTTGGAAAGGGCCACAAGTTCCACCACACTACTGGTGGTTCTCGCCATGCAGCTTGGAGAAGGCGCAATACTCTCCATCTCCACCATTACCACTAATAATATAAGTGATGTTTGTAAAACTCATAACCCAATAAACTATATAGGACAGTTAAAAAAAAAAGAAATCCCAGAGGGCTGACCAAGAGGCTTCCATAGGTTAAGAGGGCACTGCCCTGCCCCGCTGTCTGGATCCATTTCTCAGTCTTCTTGTACCCATAGGAGATCAAATTTTGGTAGTGGAACACATGAATGAACGCTTTCTTGCTCAGTATGAACCCACACCTTCTGGAGAGACCACAAACACCAATGAAATATGCCAGTTTTCAAGCTTATGATGCATGGAGGAAATGAGCAATACTCCTGCAGTGGTGGAATCTACTAGTAGCAGATAATCCAGGGCAATATACCTAGAAGATCAAGAGATTGCTTTTACTTAGAGAGACTGAATCAGGAAAAGGTCTGGCACAGTGTTCAGTACTCTATAAATATTAGCTGTTATTACCGTCCTGTGGGCTTCACGTAGGAAGCACAACTGGAGCAAAGGTAGCACTCGTGGCCGGATACACTGCAGGATGCCCTACTGAGTCTGAATTTCAGATACACAATAATTTAATGTAAGTACATCTCAAATACTATATAAGATATTTACACTAAAATACAGCCACAGTGTCTTTAAAATTCAAACTTAACTGGACAGATTTACTTTAACTTGACAAATTTGGCAAATCCAGGCCAATTGTTTTTAGTTTTACTGTAGCATAAACAACAACAACAACAACAACAACAGGAATTGGCCAAGCACCGTGGTGCACACCATTAATCCTAGCATTCTGTGAGGCTGAGGTAGGAAGATGATAAGTTTTAGAATATCTTGGGAAACTTAGTGAGACTGTCTCAAAAATGAAAGGTTTTTTTTTTTTTTCTTTTCAAAATTTTATTGATAAACATATAGCAATGAGACAGTTTCAAATCAAATCGAAAGTACAGTTTCAACAAATAATACACTGCATATATTCTTCTGAGTGGAAAAATGAAAGGTTTTTGAAAGGCCTGAAGATGTAGCTTACTGTGAAGCAACTGGGTTGTGTTTAAGATGTATAAACTTATGTTTTGAAATGTGTGTACGTTGTGAAATTGTAGGGTTTCTTTTTGTCGCTGGCTCAGCCTACCCTTGCGGGGGCCGAGGGGACAGTCTGGCACAGCACGTGCTACCAAACTGAGGTCCCTGCATGCTTGCTTAAGCTTGCCTAAGCAGGCGCTTTAGACCACTGAGCTATCTTGCTGGCCCACACATTGCAAAATTGTAACAGGAGGTCCTGAGACAGACATTAGGATTCTATGGGGCAGTAAGGACTGCAGCTTCAAAGAGGGGCTGAAGCTGCATGTTGGGATGAGGTGAAGCCCAAAAGGGGATCTGCTGCCTCAGGACCCTCCAAAGTTCATATGAAAACATCTTCCAGGTGTCCTTGTGCTGCCTGGATTTCCCCAGATCATGATCAGGCAGGCCATTGGCTCAAGGGCTCTTGAGCCCTGCATAGACACTGTGAACATTTATGGATCAACCCTAAAGAACGTGTAGCCTTCCATGGTGTAGAGGTTATACTGCTATGCAATGGCCCGAGCTTGCTTCTAACTCCCTTAAAATCTCTTAGATGCAGCGTCCTCATGGGCGTTCCACTCAGATCCTCCTCACCGCCAGTGGGAGCTTTACTAGCTTGCCAGTGTATCTTCTACATTTTTGCCTTTATATTTTTTAAATAAATATGCTTGTATCCTACTTCCCCCATATGTAGAGTTTTATTCTTTGACTAGTTAGCATATGCAGAGCCAGCAAAATTATGAATATACACTTGAGCAGTTTGATGTACTAATAAATGTCTAGAAGCTTATAGCCACAACTTTGAGCAGACACAAAGGTCCCTTGTATTAATCCCATGATGTCTCAATAAATTTAGTATTAAAATATTTATACAAACTGTACCTTATTGATGTACACAACTTTTGGTGATTTGTATGTATCATTTCATGTAGTTTTAAAATATATAAATATATACATCTATAATGAGGAAATTGAAAATCCACCCTCTTAGTAGATCACAAGTATGAAGGGCAGCGCTGTTGGCTATAATCACTACCCTACACATTCCTCCAGTCTTCAACCCATAGAACTGAAGCTCCGCCCCTTTCAACCACTGTCTCGGATCCCACATGCACGCGCTCCCAGCAGGATAGCTCTCCACTTTCGTTCTGAGAATTTACCTCTTGCAGATTCCACATATAAGTGAGATGATGTGGCATTTATCCTGCAATGTCTGGCTTAGTACATTCCCTATTATGTGTGCAGGTTGATCTGTGTGGTGACAAATGGCAAGATTTGATGTTTTAGTAGCTGAATAGCTTTCCATCACATGTCTGTGTTGTCTTTATCTCCTTACCCATCAGGGAACGCTCGGGCTGCTTCCAGAGCTTGACTATGGAGCGAAATGCTGGCAGGAACACAGGAATGTAGTTGCCTCCTGGAGAGCCTGATTTCAGTTTTGGAGATATACTTGGAAGTGGAATTGTTGGGTCATATGGCAGTTTCAAGGAGAGACAAGCTTGGTATGAGATGAAGAGCAGGGAAAGTGGATCAGCACACCTATCCCCTGCTAGGACCTCCCAACCCGCACTCAAGGTCCGAAGACACAGTTAGAGGAAAGAGATGGTGCTTCCCACAGCTCTGTCGCTCTCCAGGAATTGTTGCCAGTCACTGTGTATTGCTGTGTGGTAGTTTCTGCTCTAAGGGCTTTATAAGGGTCACACCTTTATTTCTAATAAAATATGTGCTGTGGGTTAGCATTATCCCCATTTAAAAAGTGAGCAACTTGAAGCATCCAGAGGTAAAGTAGCTCTGCGGCAGCTCTGCCACTGTGCAGGCAGGATTATGAAGCTATTACATTTGGTTCCAGGAACTGATATATTAAGCATTATGGGTAGAGAAAGATTTTTAACATAAAGGCTATAGAAGGCCTTCAGGACCAGCTTGTTTGCACAATTGCATTTTGAAAGTCATATCACCCAGCCTTGCTTCCTTCCTAAGGTGAGATGTCACTTGCTGAAATGTCTGCTTCACAGGGCTACCGTTGGCCTGCTTTGGCCACCCACATGCTCCTTTGGCTACAGAAGTATCATCGTGTTCAGTTGTGCTTTCCTTTGCATTTTCAGCCATCGGATTCCAGGAACACAGGCTCTTCCCCTAACTGCTGGCTGGAGACTCCAATTTGTAAGAGCTTATTGGAAGCAAACAGCTGAGGGGAATTGAGCAAGAATTTCTGGGATGCCCACATGATGGCAGGAACGAAGGACTGTGGATTGAGTGGAGTGCGCAGACAGGACAGCAGCAATGATTAACAGCCCAGTCCTCGGCAGGCTTAAATGGGGTGCAGCTGCATGAGGAGGCACTGTTTTCTCTCAGCTGGAGTGCTCCCCAGGAGCCAGCCCCAGCCTCAGAAAAGATGCTTTCTCTGCGGACCCTCTGCCTGCTCCTGAGCGTGGTCGGCACAGTCTGGGTATGGAGCATTTTGTGTTCTCTTCCCCCTTTCTGCCCAGTGATTATCCCCAATGAGCCTGGAGGTCTGAATCTACCAACTCTATGCTTTGAAACACCCAGCTTTCTGAGCTCCAAGTGTGTGGCTTGACAAGAGCACAGTAGGCAACAGGAGTCCAGGAGACAGAAATTTGAGGGACTGAAGAATGCAAATTCTCAGGGCAAACAGGGGCATCTGTCTTTCAGTACTGAAACATTGATGCAGCTTATTTATTTATTTTGTGGTGTGGGGCAAGTGGAATCTAGAGCTTGGTGTGTGTAAGCAAGCACTTTACTTCAGAGCCCCACTCCCACCCTGTTACTTTTTTTTTTTGTACAGGGAAATGAACTCCTGACCTTGTGCTTTCTAGGAAGGTGCTGTGCTGCTGAGCTATACCCCTATTACTTGCTTTTCAAAAGAGATACATACTTTGCTATTTTTGTCCTTATAACATCCTGAGGTATTCTGCAATAGTATGAAACATTTTATAAAATGATTGTTCCCTCTGATTTTTAATTTCTTGTTATGTGTTCAAAATGTTTAATTTTAATACAACTTATCTAGCAGGTTCTTTTGGTGTTTATTTCAAGACCAAGGGAAAAAAAAGCAAATGAGATGTGTTTGAACATACATAGTAAAACTAGAAGACATTAATTAATAGGGCAGTATACTGTTTGGAAATATGTCTGTTTTTTAACATAACATCTAAATATTACTACCATATTTAAAATTTAGCTCTAGAGGCATACAAAAGGATTTCATTCAAAAACATTTCTGAAACACTGTAATTTATACAAAGATGATATACGTTCAAGAAACTCTATTACTTTCCAGTGGCTTATCCAAGTTATATGCAGTCTAACTTATATAATTAAATACAGCATTTTCATTTATTTCTTGTACAACCACTAATAAATTCTAATATCAAATGGTAAAGACGTAATTTTCTCTCTATTGTAATATACTAATTTTAACTTTTTTGGCGGAAGAAATATAAATTATTTGTTAAAGGGATTTTTTTTTCTTTTTTTGGTGGAACTGGAGATTGAACTCAGACCCTTGCGCTTGCCAGGGAAGCGCTTACTCTACTGAGCCATCTCCCTGACCCTCAAAGGGATATTTTGCATACACTGATTTTAATTACTTGTCCTATTTCCCTCATTGTTCAAATATTCATTTTTTGCCTGCTTTCATTGTTGTAACATTTTATTCTGAAATATGTTTACTTATCATCGAATTGCTTAGGTAGGATGATTGCATTTGTTCCCTTAAACAAACTGTTGGGAGTCCCTTAAATTAGCATTATTATTGTCTGATGTTTTTCTTCAAAAAATAAGACTGTAAATATTAATTAATTTTTAGGAATAAATTACTCCAAACTGAAGTAATCACAGCAAAATTCTTCTAAGTTGGTGAGAAAGAATAAAAATAGTGAAACCCAAAAGCTGCCTTTGCCTACTAGGCCACCAGGTCCTTTGGGAAGATCCTTTTGTATGCTGTTATGTCTGACTCACAATAGAAAATTTTTACCTCTGGGTACATCTAATGATAAGGTGCTTCCAACAATTGCCAGGAGCTATTATTTTTATTTTTGGTCAGGTATTTTGTATTTCAAATAAAAAAGAAATTATTGTATCAGAGAGCAATTTTTGTTGATTCAAATAATACTCCTTTTATCACAGACCTACAGAACTAGTGATGCTGGTCAGGTGCTTACTTAGTGTCAAGTACACCTAAGAGGTGCGCACCTCATCTCCTTTAGTCCTTGTAAGTTCATACAATGGGACTGGGGCTCTCACCGAAGGTGGGCAGCTCAGAACTTCCGGGGGCCCTGATGCTGTCCCTTGTAAGCTCATTTCTTTCTTGGGACTTGCAGGCAGGGCACTATCTCCTCTCCTGGCTAACTTATTGACTTTGCCTCTCTCTCTCCCCTCTGCTATGTGCCTCTGTGTGTGTGTGTGTGTGTGTGTGTGTGTGTGTGTGTGTGTGTGTATTTAAAGACCGGGGATACTGGAGGAGACTTTTTAGCAGAAGGAGGAGGCGTGCGTGGCCCAAGACTCATGGAGAAGCAGCAGTCTGCCTGCAAAGAGACTGGCTGGCCCTTCTGTGCTGATGAAGACTGGGTAAGTAGGGTGTGGAGAGCGGAAGTGTCCTCCTCAAGGACTGCAGCCAGCCTCACAGGGTGACCCGAGAAAACTTCCCCATAAGAAGAAAAACTAGCAATGCTCCAGCTCCTTATTTGCTAAACTAAAGCCCATGACAGGAATGGAGTCTGCTCCCAGAGCACTGTTTACTTATGTCCCCAGCTCCCCATCACTAATGGGATGAACAACAGATCGGGTTTTAGCTGCATGCAAGTAGTAGGAACCTGAGGGCTACAGCCTCAGCTTTCATGGGGTCTGATTTGTGTTTAAGTAGATCACAATTCCAACATTTCTGTATGACCTTTAAATAGACCTCTTGGCTACTTTAAGCCAATAGATGTTCAGAGACACGGGGTGGGGAAGCAGTGGGAATTTCGTGGAAACCTGGAATATTGTTTTGGACGTAAGAGATAGACTCTCAGAGTAATTTTTCCTCTTTATTTTTAGGGATACAAATGCCCTTCTGGATGCAGGATGAAAGGATTGATTGATGAGGTCAATCAAGATTTTACAAACAGAATAAACAAGCTGAAAAATGCGTTATCTAATTATCAAAAGAACAATAAAGATTCAAATACATATAGGAATATAATGGAGATTTTAAGAGGGGACTTTGCTAAAGCCAACAGTAAGTATTAAATATCAGAGCTTTGATTTATGGAAAAAATGGTAGCACAAATCCTGAATAATGATGTGTACTTGTAGCTATTCTGACTTAATTCGAAATACTTAGAGCAGAAACACATCTCTATGATATCCTTGAATTTTAAGGAAATGATTTTTTTTATCATGTTCCTAAAACAGAATAGTTAGTTTACACTATTTAAGGTAACAAAATAACTCTGATCTGTGGATTGAATTTAAGCATAGTCCCTTCAAAAGTAGATTTAGAAAATGAAAATGGCCCAGGACATGTGAGTAGATGCTCTTGCTGCGATAGCGCAGAAGTGAAGGGACTTGCGGCCTGGCCATGGATTTGGGAACCAACCTCAGACCCCACTGGGCTGAGGGTCAAGGCTCTCTGTGCTCTGTCCTTCTCAAAGAACTCTCACTGGGACCAGGAAACACTACATTTACTCTGTGCTGGCACAATGAGCCCAGGAAATTCCTAGTTTCCGAGGCCTTTCTTTGCCACATTTTATCTTAAGGATACACTTGATTAATGTAGTGCCAGTGGCACAAGATCAGCGGGCAGACGGGTGAGCCTGGCCAGTCCATGAAAGTTTGAGGGCACAGCTTCAAGTCTGCTGGTGGAAAGAAAAGCCTTTCAGTAAGAAAACTCAGTAATTCCTATTGTCTATCTATCTACCCATCTAGTGATGAATTGATAAATATGACACGTATAGATAAAGAAATCCCTTGACTAAAGATATGATGAAATAATTAGAATGTCTAAAGTAGTTATTTTATCACTTAGTCATCTTTTTAAATTTCCAGAGTAATTTCTTTTCTCTTCATTTTCATTACTAACTCCTACAAGAGCATTATGCCTGACACCCTGGATGTCTGGAGGACACAGTGTTGTCTAAATCAAAATGCTTACTTAATGTGCTTGAAAGTCACAGATTAAGTGTCTGGAACACACACCGTAACCCAAACAGAATTTGGGAATATTTATAAGAGCACTTCTTTTGGAGGGTGGGTTGGATATTCTAAGTCACTCAGCAGCTACTTCAGTATCTGCACTGTCTACTGCAGACAAGGACAACACATATAACCAAGTGTCAGAAGACCTGAGAAGCAGAATTGAGGTTCTGAGGCGCAAAGTCATTGAGAAAGCACAGCAAATCCAGCTTCTGCAGAACAACGTCAGGGCCCAGCTGATAGACATGAAGCGCTTGGAGGTATGTAAGACAGGGCAAGGACGCACCATTTCTTTGCTTTTGAATAGTGGGTAAGAGGAAGACAATAATCACAATTGAGTGAATAGCAGAGAAAACTGCTAGATCCATTATCCACTAAAAAGCAGGGATGGCTTTCCCCACTCTACAGGTGAAGAAGGAAGGTTGGGAGGTATTAAATAAAGTTTTCAAGGGTACATAAATAGGAAATTGCAAAAACAAAAGGTTCCATCTTATTGGGGTTCCCAACCATAACATCACAGGCCAGAGACCTCAACCTCTGCCTCATGGAGGGCCTCTTAATGAGTGTTTCCTTTTGGAGGAAATAACAGCTTATTCTGTAGTCATTCTTAGTGTAAGATAAACCCAGTCATTCCACATACCAGTCTTGTCAGACCCAACATGTCTTCCTCAGAGGATACTCTGGAAATGGAGAGTGGGATATGGATGGTTAGGACTGGAATCCAAAGACATGAAACCAGTTCCAAAAAATAAATTAACTTCTAGGAACTCAATACACACAGTTTATCTCTTCCTCTCTGCCTTTTCTCTGTCTCTCTTTAGGTGGACATTGATATTAAGATCCGGTCTTGCAAGGGGTCCTGCAGCAGGGCTTTGTCTCGGGAGGTCAATCTGAGGGATTACGAAGACCAGCAGAAGCAGCTGGAGCAGGTCATTGCCAAAGAGCTGCTTCCCCCTAGAGACAGGCAGTTCTTACCTCTGATAAAGATGAGGCCCGTGACAGACTTGATTCCCGCGCGATTCAAGAGCCAGATTCAGCAAGCCCCGCCAGAGTGGAAGGCGTTGTCAGAGATGCAGCAGATGAGAATGGAACTAGAGTGGCCTGGGAGGGGGGGCAGTAGTACTCGAGGAGACGCTGCATCTTATGGGACAGGGTCGGAGACGGAGGGGCCCAGGAACCCCGGGCCCGGCGCTGCTGGACACTGGACTCACGGGGCCTCCGGGCCTGGAGGCGATGGAAGTCGGAGCCCAGCGAGCCCCGCCTCTGGCGGCCCTGCGTCCCGCGTGCCTAGCTACAGCGGGAGTCGCAACCCGGGAAGCGCGGCGGCCGGAAGTCTCAGGCCAGACAGCTCGGGCTACGGCAGCAGCCGGCCTGCCAACCCAGACTGGGGCGAGTTCGAAGAGGTACCAGGGAGCGCAAGCTCGGGAGGCCGGAAGGAGTACCACACCGAGAAGCTGGTCACCTCCAGGGGGGACAAGGAGCTCCTGATCGGCAGCGAGAAGCTCACCTCTCCTGGCACGACCACCACTCGCCATTCGTGCTCCAAAACCATCAGTAAGACTGTGATCGGTCCCGACGGGCGCAAGCAGGTGACCAAGGAGGTGGTGCACTCGGAAGACCCCGCCGACTGCGGCGGCGGCGCGGACCTGGACTTGCTGCGCGGCTTCAGCGCGCACGGCAGCCTGGACGACTTCGCCCTGCGGCACCCCGGCGAGGCCGCCTTCTTCGACACGGCTTCGGGGGGCAAAGGGGCAGCTTTCTCACCCTCCACCTCCTTCAAGGAGTACGGAGGCAAGACCCAGTCGCTGGGCACGGACTCAGCCTTCTTCCCCGGCGGCGACACGGGCTCGCATACCTTCGGGGTCCCCGAGTACTCGAGCAGCGGCAGCACGAGTCACCGAAAGCAGGTCGTAAGCAGCAGCACCTCGTACAGTAAAGGAGGCTCCACCTTTGAGGCCAAGAGCTTTAAAATGGCAGATGAGGCCGGAGGAGAGCTGGATTACGACGAGGCAGGAGAGGAACACAGCGTCAAGAGAGGCTATGCTAAAGCTCGACCTTCCCGAGGTATCCACACTTCTCGTTTGGGGAAGCCCTCCCTGACCCCCTAAAGCTAAGCTAATTATTTCCAGAGTACCTTGCTCTTCTTTCCTAACCTTCTATTGCCCTTTCTTGAAATTATTACATTTCTTTTGATCTGTTTTTCATGCTAGACTGTAAGTTCCACTGGGGCAGGAACAACGAACTTGTTTTTGTGAATCTCTGTATTCCTAACAGGACAGAGGGTCCTCACTCAATAAAAACGTGTTGAATGAATGAATGAATCCTTCTGAAACTCGGTTCTTAGTTTGCTTGACCCAATTCTTTCACCGTCCAATGCTTGACCCACTGCTATCGGGACAGTCACACAATTAACTAAGCATGGTCTTAGTGTGGGTCACACTGATCTTTAGATCAGGTTAAAAATGAGGTGTGTTCATATTAATTGATACTGAGCTACTTTCAATGGCTCCTTGCTCTTCCTATGTACAAGCAAAATTCGAAATCCATTTGGGGAAAATTGGCATTTTGTAGATTTAACTTTCTCTCATTTGCATGAAATTATATCCCAGTGAAGGTGCATTATTTTCTCATGGGCACAAGGAAGGAAGGAAGGAAGGAAGGAAGGAAGGAAGGAAGGAA